GAACCCACCCACGCTCATCGGTGTGCCACACGCACCACCTGCTCTGCACCCACGAGGCACCCGCAAACCTGCACAAGGACCACTTCTCTCTGTCTCCCACATTGGGGTTTTTCTTGTTTCATTAACTCAACCACGAGAGGTGTCACCAGATGTAGACATGGAGGTCTGAAGTCACTCCCAGGTTTGTCAGCAGTTAGATCTCCTTCTAACAAGCAAGCCTCAGGAGCCTCAGGAGCCGTGCCTAGGAGAAAATCTGACATCTGGTTGCGAGGCCAGGCTGCCAAGACTCCAAGTCAAATTAGCCATTGACCGCCCTCCTCTCCACACTGAAAGGACAACACCTCCTCCAGGAGAGAGAGGAGGCATGGGCAGGGTCTGGGCTCCCCCATCTTCACTTTCATTTTTTTTTGTTCCTTTTTGTTTTTGAGACCGGCCGCACCGTGCTCAGCCAGTGAGCGCTGTGAGCGCACTGGTCATCCCTATATAGGATCTGAACCCGTGGCGGGAGCGCTGCTGTGCTCCCAGCACCGCACCCTCCCTAGTGCGCCACGGGCTCGGCCCTTCACTTTGATTTTTTAATAGACCTATGAAAGTTTTGTATTGTGGTAAAATACACATGACGTAAAATTTACTGTTTTGACCATGTTAAGTGTGCCGTCCTCTGGCACTAAGTACATTCACAATGTCATGCAGCCATCGCCACCGTCCAGCTCCAGAACTACTTCTTTTCCCCACTGAAGCTCTGTACCCATAAAACAAAACTCCCCATTCCCCCCTCCTACCAGCCCCTGGCAACCACTACTCTACTTTCTGAATAGACGTTATTTTTTAGAACAATCTTAAATTTACAGAAAAAATTGAAAAGATAATACAGAGAGTCCTCATATACCCCACACAACAGTTTTCCCAACATTAATATTTTCTATTAGTATGGCATGTTTGTTACACTAAAGAACCAGTATGGATATGGTATTACTAACTACAGACCATAGTTCATTCAGACTTCCTTAGCTTTGGCCTAATGTCCTGTTCCAGGATCCCACCCAGGACACCACCTTATATTCCGTCATCATGTCTCCTTAGGCTCCTCTCGATGGTGACAGTTTCTGACTTTGCTTGTTTTTGATAACCTTGACAGTTTTGAGGAATACTGGTCAGGTATATTGCAGGATGCCTCTCCACTGGGATTTGTCTGATGTTTTTCTCATGGTTAGACTGGGTTTATGGTTACTTGGGAAGAGATCACAGGGGTAAGGCACCATTTTCATCACGTCACATGAAGGGTACAAACTAGCAACGTGATTTATGATTGTCGATGTTGACCTCGATCACCTGGCTGATCAAGAGTGTGTCCAGATTCTCCTTGTGAAGTTGCTTTCCCCCACCCCTCTACCTGCCTTTTCATATTCTTTGGAAGAAAGTCACTCTGTGCAGAGTTGTACCCCCCTCCTTGAGGGCAGGGTATCTACCTAAATTATTTGTAATTCCTCTGTGTGGGAGATTAGTCTCTTCTCCCTTGTTTATTCAGGTATCCAATAATTATAAATAAGTCAGTCATTTATATCAGTATGGACTCATGAATATTCATTTTATTTTTTGGATAATAATCTCACACTACTTTATTTCCACAATTGTTCCAGCTTTGGCCATTGGGAGCTCTTTCAGTTGGTTTTTGTGCCCCTTTCACATACCCCCATCAATATGGGTTTGGGTGGGTGTGTTTGCTTGTTAATTTTGAGCACTTCCTTACTTTCTGGCATTACAAGGTGCTCCAGGCTCACTCCTCTTATATGTTTCCTGCCTATCTTAGAATCAGCCATTTCTCCAAGGAGCCTTGTTTCCTTTAATTGGATAATGGTATTAGCAACCAAGATTTGGGCACTAAGTGCTATTGGGATATCATTTCCTTTAAGGCTCTCTTAGCTGACAGAGGAAAGAAATATATGTGTGCATCCTAACTTGTGTATATACACACATCTGTAGATATTTCCATACATAACCATCTGTATCTGTATTATGCTGAACATGAGTTCTTCCCGATGTCTCCAACTCTCATCATTGCCACATGGGTCCTTCCAGCTGCCTGCCCTTGCTTATCTGTAAATGCCCACTCCAACAGACAGAAACCTGGCTCCCACTGTCCATCATCCATTTACTTAATTTTTCAGTTCACCTAAAAATCTGGGTTGACCCATTTTTTCTTTCAGTACTTTAAAGATGCCACTGTTGTCTGGCTTACATAGTTTCGGATGAGAAGTCTGCTGTAATGCTTATAGTTGTCCTTTATGTCAGGTGTCCCTTTCTCTGGCTGCCTTCAAGATCTTCTCTTTTTATTAGAAGTTTGACTATGATGTGTCTAGGTGTATGTGGGGAGGATAGGGTGGTATTCATTCTGCTGTGACTCTGAGCTTCTTGGGTCTGTGGTTTATTGTCATTCATTAATTTTGGAAAATTCTCTTGGATGCACTGTTCTTTTTTCCCCTACTCTTTTTTTTACCCCTCTACTAATCTATCCTCAAGTTCACTGATTCTTTCCTCAAGTTTCAATTTGCTTCTAAGTGTGTCAGAGGAATTCTTCATTTCAGATATGGTGTTTTTTGTGTTTAATATTTTCATTTGACTCTATTGTGTAGTTTCCATCTCTGCTGAAATGCCCCATCTGTCCATGTACATTTTCCACCTTTTCCACTACATCCCTTAACATATTAATCATAGTTACTTTAAAGTCCCTGTCTGATAGCTCCAACATCCGTGTCACCTCTCACTTCAGTTTTATTGAATGTTTTACCACCTGAAAATGAGTTGGGGGTTTTTTTCCTTGCTTTTTTTTTTTTTCCTCATAATTTTTTCTTGAATGCCAAGAAAGCATTCAAGCATTATGTGTAGAAGCACTGTAGACACTTAAGTAAATAGTATTTACCCCAGAAGTGGGCATGCCTCGTTTTTGGTCATGCCGTTCATGGTGGGGGATGGGTGGTTGAGTCGGAGTCAGTCCAGTCAGTGGTTGAGCTGGGTGCGGGTTTTGTTGTCACATCAGTATCTTCAGTGTTCCTAACCTTCATGTTCCTCCAGCAAGGGGCATTCATGGTGGGGGATGGGTGGTTGAGTCGGAGTCAGTCCAGTCAGTGGTTGAGCTGGGTGCAGGTTTTGTTGTCACATCAGTATCTTCAGTGTTCCTAACCTTCATGTTCCTCCAGCAAGGGGCTGCAGTTACCTCACGCTATTTGTGGGGCTTGCAGTGCTGAGGAGTTTCTCTCATATTCCTGCTCCATCCTCAGCTTTTAGCAATCCCTGCACCACAGGAAGGATCCCTCCCACACTCTTCCCCTTCCCGGAGGTAGACTACTGCTTCTCACTACTCAGTGCTAGGCTCATAGTGGGCACAGGCGGGTTTCTGAGTCCTCCTGCACAGCCTCAGTCTGCAGCAGTATTCCTGCCCTCCCCTCCACAGCAGCCAGACTCTGCCTATGACCTGTGGCTGGCCTTGGACAGGTGTCTGCCCAGCCCCCAGCAGTGGCTGACCTCTGCATGGTATTGGTGCACGGTACTGGGCCCAAGGGTTACCACCCCTTCTCCAGGGGGCGGACAGCTTTTGCTCCTACCCTTTCCCAGAGCTTTGGGGGTGGGAGAGTTTCCTGGCCTCTCCGAGTGGCTGAAGCCTCATATGAGAGAGGGGCCTGAGGAAGCAGGCAGAGTTCTGTGCTGGCCTCTCTGGGCAGCCTGTACATCTTCACCACCAAACGGGGTTCTTTCCAGCCCCCTGCCCTGCCCCAATCCTCCTTGTGAGCACCCGTCAGACTCACAGAAAAGAGCTTGCAGGTGAGCACAAATTCCCTGGTGTCATGTCCGCGGCCCCCTGTTATTCTAAACTTTGCCATCAGCCCACACTTGACCTTTAAGAATCGCTTAACATCGTAGCTGCTCTCTTCTTACTCTGCTCTATGCCGACCACCTCTTCCTCCGTGTGTCGCCAGAGGCGCGGCAGTTCCTTTGTCGTGTCTCTGTGCCCGAAGTCTTTGGAATTCAGTTCAGTTGGCTGCCTTGTGACCTCAGTTCTGTCACAGGCTTTAAAAGAGTCATGATTTTGTAGATTATCTGCCTTTTCTCAGGGTGGGAGTGACATTGTCTCGCAGTTTTCTACATCATAAGCAGAAACGGAACAACCATTATACGCTTTTACTGTGTAGGATTTTATGCTCCAAAACATGGATAATGTGAGGACCTTTCAAGGCGACATCTCTACACACAATTTTCACCTCATGGGAGAACCTGCCCCTGAGGAAGGTTCAAGGGGCACCTGCACAAGGGGAAGGTGCTCGTGATTTCTCTGATTGTGGGGTGCTGTGCGAGGAGATGAAAGTGTGGGACTTCACATATTTTGCATAACCCAGTCAGGAACCAACAGGGAGTTTCCAGCCACACTTATTTTTCTAACCATGAGGCTTCAAGGAGCATGGACCTCGGGCTCTAAGTCACCAATGTCCAGATATGTGAGGCCTTATGAGGGACATAGCCTCAGGGTAGGGACGGTGGCCCAGAGAAAAACAGGGGTATCTGTCAGCACAGTGAGGTCAAATGACCATGCCCATGGCACACAGAAAGATGTTGGTGTACGGCCCCAGGCCCTCAGGGACTAGCCTGATGACAGACAGCCCACAGCCTTGGCATCCTGCAGACCCAGCCTCGGGTCCTGGTTCTGCCTCTTATAGGAGGTGGGGTTTTGGAAAGGCCTTTCTGGGTTCCATTTTCTTCCTATGAAACTGAAGCAGAGGGGATAAGAGCCCCTGCAGTGGCCCTGACCATCTCCTCACCTGCTCCCACCTACAGGAAAACCTGCAGAAGCTGGTCCACATTGAGCACAGCGTTCGCGGCCAAGGGGACCTCCACCAGCCAGGAAGGGTGAGTGCCACTACCACGGGTGGGGCAGAGGGCAGCTGAGACTCTGACAAGCCCTCTTGTTTGGTGGGGCTGGCCCCAAATGGGCCTGGCTGCAGTTGCTATTTACCTGCGGAGGGGCCAGCTGGCTGGGCTCACACTGCCAGGGCCCGGGACTGCCTCCCCTGGGGTTGGCCACCCCTGTGTCTGCTGCAGGGTGGTTAAAGACATAGTGTCAGCTGGTCCAGTGTTCCCTGTGGTTCTCTTCACCTTCAAGAAGAGGAGACATGAAGTATTTTTAGTCCAGAGTTGTTGGGAAAGCAGGAAAACTCTCTCAAGAGTGAACCCCAAGAAAGTATCTTAAAAATAACATCCTTCAAGAGGCAAATGTACTCACTTTTAAGCTTCCAAATGGAAAACATATAACTCAGCGTAAAAATAGTCAAAAATATGTTCATTACCGGTTGTGGTCTATGAAAGAAAAGAGACAAAGGAATGAAAGATTGGGTTCAGGGGATTTTACTAAAAATTAGCAGGGATCTCACTGGTCTGAGATTCTGTAAAATCACACTTAGTGTTTTGGTCATGATTATGAATTCAATAAATATTAAACGTCTATTTGTATCCTCCAGAATTAAGAGGATGGTAGCAACTGTTCACAGATCTTTGGCACTTATAGCAAACTTTAAGAGGCTCTGTTCTGAATGGACTTCTCATGGTGGCCAACCAGGGAGGGAATCATGGTTTGGACCACTCTGTGGCCAGAACGTTGTCAGCACCTGGTGCAGTACAAGGGGGATTCCTGAGAGGCCAGGCTGCCATCTCAGTGTCGTTCCAGCATGTATGGAGCATCACTCGTGAGCTGGGAGTTCACCTGTGAGCGGCTCTCTGGTTCTCCAGAGACTTCATGATTAAGTTTCCTATTCAGGGGCTCTCCTGCAGCGCTCTCTAGGAACACAGGAGGCATCAGCCTGGTCACCGAGGTCTGCTTCTCTCTCTACAGGAGTTTCTGAAAGAAGGGACACTAATGAAAGTGATGGGGAAAAACAGACGGCCCCGGCACCTGTTTCTGGTAAGTACCTGGCCCCCAAACCAAACCCCAGGACTGTCAATTTCTGTGCAGTTTTCTAGGGCCGGTATTCCAGGACAAGGGGAAGGGAAGGTAGAGCAGAACAGGGCTGAGTCTGAGGGTGAGGGGCATCTGGGGAGCTGGGAGCCTCACCCTTAGGTGCCACAACCCATCACTCGCTGCCGGAGTTTATTTGCCCACGTCCCCACCTCATCCAGCACTGAGATAACCTAGGGCCAAGAAGGAAAGTCGCCTTGCCAGGCTCTCCACACTTTGGTGGCAGAGGCCCAGAAGAGAACCCGGGACTTTGAGCCCGGTCCAGCACTTTCTCCACTACGCAGGAGACTGAATATGATTTAACATTTTTTATCATTTACAGCCACAGTCTTGAGCGCCAGGGCATGTGCAGGCCATGGGCAGCAGCGCCAGCCTCAGTGGCTGTTGAGCTGCAGGCAGCTCCTCGCCCCACTCCTGTGCCCCCAAGTCACCTTGCCTTTGGAGCCCCTCCGTCTGACGGGTATAATTTTCCATGCGCTCCCACACTTGGCTTTACCGTGCGGTCTCCGTGGCCAGGGCTACCTCCTGGGCTTTCTCGCAGCGCTGCAGGTGGGAGTGGGCGGGTTCTGCGCATGGCCAGACACGCCCTGTCTCAGACCCCTGTCGGACACCTCGGGCGTGCTGGGGACAGAGACCAGGCCCTGGCCTCCCCTCAGCCCTGGAGTCTAATGGGAGAGGCCCAAGTAGGCAGGTGTAAATGCAGTGAGGAGAACCATAGAGAGGGTCTCAGGGAGCCATGGAAGCGAAGAAGAGGCTGGGGACAGCCGGCCGCGCTCTCGGGTGCTCGCTGGGTGCCGTGCCCTGTGCTGAGCTTGGCATATAGCCTGGAGGAAGCGCTGCCTGAGCAAAGCCCAGGGAGAGAGAGGGGTGTGTCTGGTGGGCAAAGGAAGGACGTCTCAGGAGAGGGAACAGCAGAAGCCAAGGACAGAGCAGAAGACACGTGCTGTGTTTGGAGAGCCTCTATGATCTCATGAAATCTTTGGCTCTCGATGGGCCCTTCTGCTCACTAGTGCCCCACATAGACCCTACCCATGGAGGGGCCACTTGAGGGTGGAGTTCCAGAGACAGCTGAGCAGAGAAACCCTGAGCCTGGCCAGAAAGTGTGGAGCCTGTGGCTGCCTGTCAGGCCTCGCTGGGCCTCAAGGGTGAGGGTCCTGAGGCCTTGGCCCCGCCTTGGGGGCTCCCTTGGTTCTGCATGAACCACAAGGTGACACAGGTTCACCTATCTCCTACCTCCCATGAGAACCCCCCACTCCAGCTGGTTGGCAGTGCAGTGGGAGGGAGAGATTGGGCTGCAGGCAAGACGAGAGGAGTTGCCCAAGTGGGACTTCAAAAAGGAGCCAAGCAGTGCCTGGTTCAGACTTGGGTTCTCAAAAGGATCTCAAAGCCTCCGTGGATGCATGAGTCGCGTGAGTCCCTTTCTCTAGGTAGTTTTATTTTTTATTTTTTTCAAACACCCGCTTACAGACCTCCTGTGTTGGGAACTCCCTGCCTGCTGCAACATTCACTCATTTTACAGCTCCTCATCCATCTCCTTCTGAGTGCTAGGATCTGTACTGGAGTGTAGATGTGTCCCTGCCCTGTTGTAGATCTTGACGTCTAGTGGGGAAAGCCATCCCTTGTTCCGTATTAGACAAGTCTAAATATTTAAAAACTCTTTCCATTGAGGACAAGTCTGTGTGCCCCTGAATTTAGGGGCATCTATGTGGTAAGAGCCATACTGAGCTAGTTAGATCCCTATCTGACAGCTACCCCATCAGTAAACCTTAGACAAGCCACAGACACGCGTGAGCCTCAGTTTCCCACCAGGAGCGTGGAAACACTAGGTGGTTTTGAGAATTAAATGAGGTGACTTGTGTGCCTGGCACATAGAAGCCACTCATTTGGTAGCCATTACAACAGTTTCCTCTCTTCCTCTGACAGTTGCTCCCCCCCACCCTGACACAGTCCTCCCTCTGCCTGGGGCTACAGGGCTCATCACTGTGTCTGCCCCAGCACAGCCCTGCAGAGTTGGGGCCAAAAATGGGTCCTCCCAGGTCCCCCTTCTTCAGGATGAAAAAGGGAGGTCATACAGGACGCCGGTGAGGAATCAGCTGATTCAAACCCCAGCTCTGACACCCACTGCTCTGGGACCCATGGGCGTGTCCCATCACTTCTCTGAGCTTCAGTGCCCTGATCTTTAAAATGGAGGTGACATCCTTCCTGGACATGAGAGAAGTGTGCAACATGGCAGCTGGAACAGAGTGGGTCCATCTTGGTCCCCCAGCCATTTGCCGTCTGGCCTCCTCCTCTGCCCATGCCAGCTGGTCTCTGTGCCTCTCACAGGGACCCTGAATGCCAGGCAAAGCTGCAGCATCCTGACCCTCCCACCCTGTCCTCTCTCTCCTCTTCTGCCTTGTTGCAGCAGACACTGAGGCTCTTGTGTGCCTGTTGTCAACTCCTCTTCATCCTTCAAGCAGTGCTCAGGTGTCACCTCTTACGGAAGCCTCTCCACTTCCCCTTCTCTCCTCCCCTCTTGTTCTCCACCTCCCACTTCTCGCCCCCTCCGCTCCCCCACTTCTCTCCCCCCTTCTCTTCCACTTCCCCTTCCCTACCCCACTTTTCCCCTCCCCCCTTCTCTTCACCCCTCCCCTCCCCCCACTTCTCTTCCCCATCCCCCACCTTCCCCTCCCTCAAGCTCCCCCCCACCCCCATCTAGTATGGCCCTTCATCTAGCATCTCTCTCACTGAGTCCCAATGATAGGCCTGCATCTCTCTGGTTCTCCTGTTATTATTAGTCCATAAGCTTGCAATGTCTGAACCTGGATCTTCTTCTGTCTCAGTACAAGCCCTTCCACTGAGTAGGTGTCAGCAGCTGTGGAATGGAGGCATGGATGGGAGGAGGATGGATGGACAGGTCTGAGCCAGGGAGTGCCGTGGTGAACAGGCACACTTAAAGAATCTTCCTTCCTCCTCAGGTGCCAGTTTCATAAAATAATCTGAACTGCAGAACAGACTGGGGGCATCTCCTGCCATCACACAGAGGTTTCAGTGAGACTGGAAAGGCTCCCGTGGTGGCCTCGCCATCCCCGAGCAGCAGGTGGCGCTGCTCGCTGGTGGCTCCTTACTGTGGGAAAGCCCCCCTACCCTAGCCCTTCATGAAGGATTCCTTCCCCTTCCTCCAAAACACACTTTGAAGCAGGGAGAACTCCAGGTGATCGGGAAGTGGCCTGTCCTGGCCCACTGATAGACCTTGGCGCGTGGCAGTTGCCGTGGCAGCAGGTGCTGGATGAGCAGTTGCAGAAAGGCTGGGACTGCTCTGCTGAGCTACCCGGGCCGGTTCCCTGGGAAGGGAAGGGTTTGTGAGCAAGACTCTGTGCCGGGTTTGGTTCTTGTCCCCAGCTAGGGCCAGCAGTCACTGTGAGACCACCCCCACCACACCACACCTTGTTTGGTTCTTGTCCCCAGCTAGGGCCAGCAGTCACTGTGAGACCACCCCCACCACACCACACCTGAATGCACTGCAGGCACGCTTGTTTACCTACAGCCCTGGCACCACCACCTATAGCTTTGTGACCTCGGCATGTTGTCTGGCCTCTCTGGGCTTCAGTTTCTCCCTGTGTGAGATGGGGATGATGACAATGGTGCCTGCTCTAAAGGGAGGTCACAGGTGTCAGGCACAGATTCAGTGTTCAACATACCACAGCTCTTAGAAGGCAGAGCTGCAAGGGCTTGGAAAGCTCCCGAGCCCAGAGTCGGCAAACTGTAGCCTGCAGGCCACAGCTGGTGCATAGCCACATGTGTTCGTTTATGGATTGTCTGTGACTGCTTTTGAGCCACAACAGCAGAGTTAAGTAGCTGCAACAGAGACCGTGTGGCCCCCAAAGCCTAAAGTACTCACTGCCGGGCCCTTTACAGAAAAGTTTGCCAACCCTGGTCCTCTCCAGCTCCCTTTAGAGAAGGTGAGGCCCAGAGAGAGGAAGGGTTGCACAGCCAGACAGTGTCTGGACCACTCCTGCCCTGCCATGGCTGATACATTGGGGTCCTAAGAAGAGCTGGTGGTGGGAAAATTCACCCATCTGTTCCCTCAGCAAGCTCTATTGGGAAAAGAAAGCATTCATCCTGAGGTCTTGTTCTGTTTCAGACATTAGGTGCATTGTCCTGTTCAGTCCCTGCAGCACCCCTGGTTCCCATTGGCCCCATGCACAGAGGTCCTCCTTTGTTGGCATCAGTAATAATGTAAGGGTGGAGATGTCCCCGTTTTGCAGATGAGGACGCTGAGGCTTGGGGTGCAGCACCCCTGGTTCCCATTGGCCCCATGCACAGAGGTCCTCCTTTGTTGGCGTCAGTAATAATGTAAGGGTGGAGATGTCCCCGTTTTGCAGATGAGGACGCTGAGGCTTGGGGAGGTGAAAGGGTTTGTCCATAGTCACACGGCTGGTGCATGCCAGGGTCATGGTTCGCAGCGCACTGCACCAGCCTGAGTATGATGTCGTCTTTACGGACTTGAAACCTTCTAGCCAAACAGAAACACTCTCTCCTAAGGAAGTGAAGTGAATTTCGTTATGTTTCTTCCTGTCTGCCCTGAACGTGGGGTGAGCTTTAGTTGTTCATTCAATAAATGTTAATTAAGCAACAAACATTAATTGTGTTGGTCACTGGAGCTACAGCAATGAACAGGACCACCAGGTCCCTAACCTTAAGGAGTTTTCTCTTTCCTCTTTCTCCTCCCTCCCTCCCTCCCTGCCTTCCTTCCTTCTTACCTGTATTTTGCCCAATTTAATCTCCATAGAGAAAAATGCGTCAGTCTTAAGTGTACGTGTCTACCTGTATTGACAAGTGTACATCATTGTGTGGCCACCACTTGGGTCAAGGTATAGAACACTTTCAGTCCCCCAGAATGTTTCCCTGTGCTTCTCTCAGTCACTCTCCCACATCCCTGAGGACCCCAGGCAACCACTGGCCTGATTTCTGTCACTATAGGTTAGTTTTGCCTCTTTTGGAACTTCATGTGAATGTGGTTTTTTGTGCGCGGCTTCTCCCAGCATGACCTTGAGATGCAGTCCTGTCCGTCGAGTGTGTCAGCAGCCTGTTCCTTCTGATTGTGACGCGGTATTCCATAGTGTGGATGTACTGTGGGTGGTTTGTCCATCCATCTGTTGGTAGGCATTTGGGTAGTTCCCGCTTTGGGCTGTTATAAATAAAGCTGCTATGAACATTCTTGTACATGACTTTTTGAGGGAATATGCATTTATTCCTCTTGAGCGTCTACCTGGGAGTGAAATATTGGGGAGGGGCTCATGTTTTAGCGCAGAATGTTTTTGCTTGCCTGTGGGGTTCACCGAAGAATGCAAGATGCCTGTGCACCCCAGAGTTCAGGGGTCTTCCGTGTGCAGAAGCCCAGTGCAGCCCACTGGGGCCAGGACATGGCTGACAGGGTTGCCCTCTCCCCAGATGAGTGACGTGCTCCTGTACACATATCCCCAGAAGGACGGGAAGTACCGGCTGAAGAGTACATTGGCGGTGGCCAGCATGAAGGTAAATGCCTGGTGCTGGGCACCCTGGGGTGGGGAGACCCTGGAGGAGGAGGAGACGGCATCCCTGTGCCTAGGAGCACACAGACCAGCTGGAAGGGGGAGGCCTGAAGAAGGGGTGTTAAATTGTGGGCTATAGCAGGTTTATACTGTAGGTAATCCAGGGAGAGGAGAGGGGAAAGGAGGGTTTCCTGGAGTAGGGGACATAAACCCTTAGTGTAGACAATTATTTGGTCAGATTGGGGAAAGGAGAATGGGAAGGGGCATCCTACCTGGAAGAAAATGCATAAGGAAAGGCTTGGAGGGAGGAAATGAGCAGATGTTTGGTAATTTATTTTTAATCGTGGTAAAATAAACATAGCGTAACATTTACCATCTTAACCATTTTCAAGTGTACAACTATACACTTGGCATTCAGTAGCGTTCAGTGGCATTAGGTACACCCACATTGTAGTGCACCCATCACCCCCATCCATCTCAGAACTTTTTTTGTGTTGCAAAATTGAAACTCTGTACCCACTAAATGGTAATTCCCCATCCTACCTCCAGCCCCTGGCACCCACCATTCCACTTTCTGTGTCTGTGAATCTGACTGCTCTAGGGACCTCATCTAGGGGGAATCACACAGTATGTCCTTATTTCACTTAGCATAGTGTCCTCAAGGCTTGTCCATGAGGTGGCATGTGTCGCAATGTCCTTCCTTTTGGAGGCTGTATGAATATGCCACATTTTCTTTATCTGTGTGTCGTTCCGTGGACATGTGGGTGGCTTCCACCTTTTGGCTGTGGCACATGCTGCTGCTGTGGACATGGCACCTGTGTGGCCAAGCTCAGAGTAATTTGGCCCCAGAGATGGGGACATTTGGGAACTGTTGGATATTCTGGAGAAGCAGGAGGTTTCAGGAAGTTAATTCTGGTATAACTGGGGAAGGGGTCAAAGAGGGGAACACTGAGGTGGACAGTGGAGCAGTGGGTGGTTGTCATGCCGAGGGCAGAGGGGAGGATGGCAAGGCGAGCCCTCTGGGGCACTGCAGGGTCTCTGATCTGTGGGCTGTGTAACACCATGGGGACCTTGATCACTGAGCAGGCACTTGTCCAGTGTGACAGTGCACCTGGAGGCTGCCCAGGCTGGGCCCTGAGAGTGACGCTCTGTGGCTTTCCTGGGTGTGGGTGAATGACAGAGGACCATGGAGTCAGCAGCCTGGCACCTAACAGCATCTGCCGTCACAGGAAGGTTTGCCCTTTACAGATGAGGAAACTGAGGCTGAGAGTGTGCCTCAGGCCCCTCTGCCCATCTACCACCAGGAGAGGAATCTGGCCTGGGTTTGGCCCTCCCTGTCCCTACCCTGAAGGGGCTGCTGTTGGTTTCCAGGTTAGCCGCCCTGTGATGGAGAAAGTGCCCTACGCTCTGAAGATCGAGACTTCCGAGTCCTGCCTGGTGCTCTCTGCAAGGTAAGGGGGTTGAGGGTGGTGGGCAGGGGGCGGCAGAATTGTAAGGGCGGGAACGTTTGGAATAACAGGTGCTGGATGTGCCATCATTTTTATTTTAAGTCAAAGGACTTTTTTTTTTCCTTTTCAGTGTTTCTTAACCACTTGTGGTGTCACAGATCCCTTTGAGAATCTAATAAAAACTGTGGCTTCTCTTCCCCAAAAAAGTACATATTCATACAATTTCTTTTTTTTTTTTTTTTTGGCAGTTGGCAGGTATGGGAATCTGAACCCATGACCTTGTGCTCATAAAATTGTCTATATAACTTCAGGGTGTCTCGAGCCCATTGTTCAGGATTAACAATGACAAAATTGCACGTTTGTGGAACTCTCCGTGGATGATTGGGTCTTTACAGCGGTACGCGGAGTTAAGGCGGGTAGAGAACATGTCTGTGCCTCAGTTCTTAGTGGGCTGCCTTTACGCTTTCACATGTAGAGGGTCAGAGAAGAAAATCGTGGGCGAACCTTCATTTATCTTTCCTTCCTGGGGGTGTCTAGTCCATTTGGACTGCTATAACAAACACCACGAGCTCAGTGTCTTACAAACAGAAATCTCTCACAGTCTGGAGGGTAGGAAATCCAAGATCAAGCTGCAGGAAGGTTCAGTGCCACTTGCTGCTCCACAGACAGCGGTCTTCTTGCTGTGTCCTCATGTGGTGGAAGGGGCAGAGTCTCTCTGGGGTCTCTTTCATAAGGACACTAATCCCATTCATGAGGGCTCTACCTATGACCTAATCACCTCCCAAAGGCCCCACCTCCTAATGCCATCACCTTGGGGGTGAGAATTTTAACATGTGGATGGGGATAGGAGCATAAACATTCAGACCACAGCAGGGGGTGTGGCTTCCTGTCAAAATGTCCACATTTTCTCAGCGAGTGTGTGACCCTGGCGTGGCAGTGGTGCCCTCTGTATGGAACTAGTCCTGCGCATGGAGGCAGTTCTGGGTGTGGAATGGGTGCACACACTGGCGTGCACGTGCCCTCACAGGTGCATTGACACATTGAGCATTTACTAGCCACGTCATGGGGCCAGGTCCTGCCTTGATGTGCTCAGGAGGAGCCCACATTATGGGTAGGACAGTCATAAAGTGGTGATGCTCTGGAACAGTAAGTGCTGTAACAGTTCTTAGTGGTAATGGCAACAGCAACAGGCACTGGATGCCTTTGAGGTCACAGGAACCCCCTCTCCTCCTCACCCCCACCGTTGGAGGTAGGACTTGTGGCCCCATTCATGTGCATGGAGTGTCAAAGCCTGGAGTGGGATCACACAGCCTTGTGAGGCAGAACTTGGGTTTGAACCCAGGTCTGTGTGACCCAGAGCTCTTATTCACTAGGATCTGCTGCCTAAGCAGGTAGAAACAGCCTTGGAAACTCAGAGGCATGACTGCCAGTCTGGGGGAATGAGGGAAAGCTGCCTGGAGGAGGTGATGGCTGAGTGGAGCTTCAGGGCCTCCCTTCTCCTCTCCTCTTGATAAAATCAGAGGCAGGAGGCGGCCGAGGGCATAGTTGCTGTTTGCTCAGCCATGACTGAAGGTGGTAACAGGCCACTCTCAGGCCTTGAGGTGGCTGCCCATCTTCCCCAGGCAGGACTGCCCCCTGGCCAGTGGCCTCAAGGAGCCACTGCCCCTGACAGGCCCGTCACCTTCCTGCTAGCCCAGACCCTTCATGCTGAAGCTCCCGGGGGACAGCAGGACCCATATATCTCCTTTTATCGACATGGCATCTGGCTGCCCACTGTGCCCACTCAGCCTCTGCCTTCCTCCCTTGCTCCCGCCGCAGCCAAGCTGGTCTCTTCTGTCTGGCTTCCCTGGGGCAGGCTGCATGCTTCTGTGCAGGGTGAGCCTGACACCTAGTGGACACCATGAGAATTTCCACCCAGCCACCCACCCTAAGACACTGTGTCACTCCTGCCTGGGGCAGCTCACAGCCCAGGTGTGGCTGTCACCACTCGAAGTCCTGTGGGCAGAGAGGGGGTTTGGAGAGTCTGTTGGATGGATGAGTGTCTGGGGAGCTGTGTGGGAAGATGAGGAAGATGGAGAGACTGGGACATTTGACTTTGCTAGCTCCTACCTACCCTGCCCTCCACAGGGTACCTAGCCCACAGTTCCCTGCCAGCCTGTCCCTCCTAAAGTGCGGGACCCTCTGGGCCTTCCTAACACCCCTTGCTTTTGCACAGCACTTTGCTGTTAACGGGGTGGTTCCACATCCCACACCCAGCACACGTTAGGGGAATGTGGTCATTGCTATAACGTTACACAGGAAGAAGTAGGCCCAGAGCACAACGTGCCTCTGGTCGTCATGCTAATAAATGAGGTGCTGGATTCACACCCAGTCTGGCAGGTGGCCTGTACTTGGGCATCTCAGCCACTGTCAGAGACTCGGGTGTGTGTGTGGGGGGGTGGATGTTTGTCGCTCGCGTGTGTCTTTGCTCACCCCTGCTGTGCCCACAGCTCCTGTGCGGAGAGGGATGAGTGGTACAGCTGTCTGAGCAGAGCCCTCCCCGAGGACTACAAGGCCCAGGCGCTGGCTGCATTCCACCACAGCCTGGAGGTGAGTTGGGGGCGGGGGCTGCCTGCTACCAGCCTCGGGGCCTGGGTTTCCCTGGGTGGGCACTGCTGTGAGTCACTCACATCCAGAAGGACGTGTAGCTCCTGTCCTTGGGGCACTGGCTCCCCCACTCCCCGCCATGCTCCCACCCCAATCAGGGGCAGCCTCCATGTAACCCAGGAGCATAACACCCCCAACTGCAACCTCACAGTCTTGCTGTTTCATCCTAGAGGGTGCAGGGGAGGTTTTTAGAATTAGAATCCACCCCGCCCTACAAACACACACTCTGTAAGAGAAGGGCTTACCCAGGTGGCCCACCCAGCTGGTCTCCTGACCACACTGCTCACCTGATTCTGTTGCTCCAGATACGGGAGAAGCTAGGGGTTAGCCTGGGGGAGAGGCCCCCGACCCTCGTGCCTGTCACCCACGTAATGATGTGCATGAACTGTGGCTGCGACTTCTCCCTCACCCTGAGGCGTCATCACTGCCACGCCTGTGGCAAGGTGAGTCGCCCCGGTCTGGGGTGAGTATGTGCATGGGGGTGGGGTGGGAGGAGGGTGTGTCTCTGCCCAGCTGGGGGGGTTGGGGTGCCCAGGAGCTACTGTGTGTCAGGCCCAGAACAGGGAGAAGTTCACACTGACCCTGCAAGGTAGGGATTGTTAATTCCTGTATTACTCAAACCAGGGCTCCAAATCCCACGCCCATTCCACTACTCTACCACGTTTTCAAAAGAAAATCGTAGTATTCGTGTTACGTCCTTGGAGAAAAAAGTCTTGTGTGGAGGTTAAGGCTCATCAGAGAAACAGACAGGCACTTGCTCAGGAGTATGATGCAGCCTGTGCTGGGTGAGCAGGGGACACAGCACAGCCTAAAAGCCAGCACACAGGGCGGGTGGATTCACAGAGGGGACAGGGTGGTGGTCCTCTTTCCACATACTGAGAGGGTGGAGCTGCGCAGACACGTGTTCTCAACTGGGCCTGCAGATCGTGTGCCGGAACTGCTCACGGAACAAGTACCCTCTGAAGTACCTTAAGGACCGGATGGCCAAGGTCTGCGACGGCTGCTTCGGGGAGCTGAAGAAGAGGGGCGGGGCTGTCCCAGGCCTGATGAGAGGTAACCTGGGGCCACTCTTACCTTCTGGGGGCCGTGTTGTGTGCCCGAACCCACCTTCCCTGGGAGGGAGTTATCACCCACGGAGGTAGGGAAGGCTCCGAACAGAGGCAGCCCTTGAGGGAACAGAGGTTCAAGCTCACACCAGGGCACCATTCCCCACAGTGCTGGTTCTGTGGAAGACTGATGGGTGCTCCCAGAGGACGGGTTCTGTGGGCAGCTGTTTAGGGCCGGCGTCTCTGTAAAGGGGACCGAGTAGGCAGGGTGCTCGTGTTTACTTTACCACAGAGGCCCTGCTTGTCCAGTGTTCTGTGGGCCTCTGTTCTAAGGGACCTTTTTGGCTCTAAGGATCATAGAACTGATAGCAAAGGAGCTGTGGATCAGGAAGGGGTGAGGGTGCTTTGACAAAGGACCCTTGGGAGGCTGAGCTGGCCCTTGAGAGACTGTGCTAACGGACAGGGCTTGGTTAGGCAGGGTTGGGCTGGAGGGAGAGCAGGAATATCCTGGGCCTAAAACCAAAGCATGTCCTCCTCTCTTCCTTCCTGGGGCCACACCAAGGACAGCCCAGCCCCTGCCTTGAGGAGGCCTGGAGAAGAAAGGCTATCCACACACCCAGGAAAAGCGTTCCCTCCCCAGCCCCAGAGCCTGTCTGTACTGGCAGGAGGAAATGCTCCCATCCTTCTGGTCCCACTTAACCCCCAGGGTGAGGCTGGCTCTCATGCCAGAGGGATTCTGCAGGAATCGGCATTCCAGAGGCCAGCTGCCTGCCTGTCCACAGCTGTCCACTCTCACCCCTTCCCTACAGAGCGGCCTGTGAGCATGAGCTTCCCCCTGTCCTCACCCCGCTTCTCGGGCAGTGCCTTCTCGTCTGTCTTCCACAGCATCAACCCCTCGACCTTCAAAAAACAGAAGAAAGTCCCTTCGGCCCTGACCGAGGTAAGGCAGGCGGGGCTGCCAGCGCGGGAGGTGAGGGATTTGGAAGTTTCGTGTTCCTCCTCAGTGGAAAGGGACAGCCCCTTCTTATCCCAGCCTGCCGGTCTCTTATGGACAAAGAGAATTCCTAATGGGAGATATTCCAGTACCAGGGCTGACTCACCACTGAAAAGGGCAGCACCTTCTCTTTCCTTGACTGAGAAAACACCTGCATGGTGGCCGAGGGCAGGAACTGAAGTGGCTGCAGGTGGCGCTTTCCCATCTTCTTCCCTCTCCCCTCCTCCTCTTTCTTTTTTCTTCTGCACAGATCACTGAGGCGCTTGAGTCTAAAGGAGCTACAGTCCTGGGTGGTTCTCCCATGTCGGGCCTCTGAGCTGTACTATTCTCTCACCCTGGGGGTCCCAGATGGGCTCAGGTTGTGGCCTCCTGGAGGCCATGGGACTCTTTGTGGGAAACCTCAGAAATGGCTAAATTCAATTCCGTTTTGCAAACAGGACCAGATTATATGTCCGTTTTCTAATCACCACCTCAGACAAATGTGTGTCCATGAATGTACAAGCTGTGCAAAGAAGTGTGATCAGCCAAGTTTGTCCATTAATACTCATTATCACGTAGCAGGCAGCAAGGGTTCAGAAAAGCGTTAGGGAATGAAAATTTTAAATAGGTATAGTTCTATCTATTAACTTACTTCTTTTGCAAATTAAAAATCTTGGAAATAGTACATACATGGTAAAAATTTTTAACACATATGATGTATGTACTATTTCCAAGATTTTTAATTTGTCAAGGGAATAAGTTAATTGATAGAACTCCCCCCACCCAGCAGTAACCACCATCAAGTTTCTTACAGATCCTTTCAGAAATTTTCATGTATATGTATAATACAGATATATATTCAGGATCCTCTTTTTTTTACCCAAAAGATAACATATTATACTGGATCTTCTACACGTTTTTTCCACTTAATATAGCGATGATTTCATCTTTGCTCACACACATAAAGCTCACACTTTTTACATTGTATTGCTGTCCCATCATTTGTTTACTTAGTCCCTTTCCATAAGTTGAGAAAGGACTACCTGCTTCCATTTCAGTGGAGGTCTGTGTGAGTCAGGCTCACCGAACCAAGGATTCCATGGGTACAGAGTTTGAGAAACACTTCTAGAATCAGGCTGCTCTGATCCTGATTGCTATCTGGGTCTGCCTCAGCCAGCCCTCTGGTGATTTTTGCTCAAAGTGACAACCTTTTTATTACCCAGAAAGGACTCCATGGGATCAGCAGAGGCCCCAGGAGAATCATGCTGCAAGTCTCCCTCTACCCTCTCCCAGTTCCCCTGGGAGCTCGACCTCAGCACTACGACCTGCTTCCTGTGAGAAAGACTGGAGAAATTCTGCCCAGAAGCATCTGCCAGAAAGGGAGGTTGTGGAATTGGTTTCCTCTGCCATGTCCTGTGCACTCTGGCTTTCTCTACCGAGGTGCTCCAGCAGGGCAAGTGGTGAGGCACGAGGCCTGTGCCCAGCATTAGGACCTTAGAACCTGTGTCAGGGGCAGGATTTCATACCAGCTTCCTTTCCTGGAACTTCCCAAGACAGCCTGAGCTGGTTGTAGGTTACTTTCCCTAAACTGAAATTCATGGAACTCCATAGTATTTGCTGAGAGACCTGAGTTGTTACCCTCTTTTCTACTAAGAAGGGACATGACCCTCGGGTGATCTCGCCATTCCTCTGGGCTTCATTTTCCCCACCTGGAAAATGAAAAAGTAAGAAGAAATCATTTCTAAACCTGGCCATCTTGCTTTAAACATCAGGTTTATATTTATGGAGCACTCACTGTGGCTCGGGCACTGTACCTGTCAAGTACCTGTCTTATGTCATTTCATTCCACTTTTACTAATAAGGAAACTGAAACTTAGGGGGAACCAGTAAATTGCCCAACATTACCCATCTAGTAATTGGCAGAGTCTGGATTAGAAGCACAGACTGGTATTACTGCAAGCCTGTGCTCTTAACCACCACATAAAGCCTGTCCAACAGAATACTACTATGACCACTGGCAATAATAATAATAACAACAAAATGAGTATACACTCCACTAGGCAGGAGGTCACAGAACCTTTTAGGTAAGCAGTTCAAAGAGGATCTCCCTTAAATGTAAGAAAGAGATAAGCTGAAAGTATAAGAATCAGTTTTAGAAGGAAAACCCTTTTGCCCAAGAATCTGCAGTTTTGTGATTTGGGGAGCTGAGGTTGGGAAAGGGAACCAAGAATATGCAGCACTGCTGGGGGCAGCACTCTTGAAGGCAGGTTTTGACTCATGCATCTCCTGGGTCTATTCAGTATATCCTGTTTCTCAAACCATTAAGTACTAATTTTGCTGACTTTAGTACCACATGGATCCTGAGACCTTATCCAAGTATCAGATTTCAAAGCAGGATGAGCAGCCTGCCAACTTGTTTGCAATGCCATCTGGCTCCGTTTGAACCGTGCCCAACCACCCAGTGCCCTAACTGCTCTGCTTCCCTCCTGCCAGGTGGCCGCCTCTGGAGAGGGCTCTGCTATCAGCGGCTACCTCAGCCGGTGTAAGAAGGGCAAGCGGCACTGGAAGAAGCTCTGGTTTGTCATCAAAGGCAAAGTTCTCTACACCTACATGGCCAGTGAGGTAGTGGTGATCCACGCTCTCTCTCCTCTCTTCTCTGAAGGCATCAGGTTAAGCTCAGAAAGCCCACCTGGGGTCTACATATGCCCGGTCACGTGCAGGGCCATGAGTCCTGGGTGCTGGGACCAGTTCTCAAGGCATCAAGTCTTTACTGAACAATGCCGTGTGCTGAGCGTTGCTGTGGGTGTACAACTGTATTTGCTTTCAAATCTGAGGAATTTGCAGTTTCTTTGCGGGATAAAAGGTATGGCTTGCAGATCTGTGCAGTGAAGTGTTTAAGCGTCACAGGTCCAGCATCTAGGACGGGCCAGGCCTGCCACAAAAGAAAACACCTTCCCGCTCTTCACTTGGGTTGCTTAGGACAAGATTCCCTAGTTTGGAGGAAGCTAATCCCTTTTTGTCCCTTTAACAGAATAACTCTGGTAACTCTGGTGATTCTTCTACTAAATAATACTGGAATTTATATGTTTATAGAACATCTTGCTTTTACATCTTCTAAAATACAGGTGAAGGAGCCTTAGAAATCAGCCTGTTTCTGGAGTAGACAGATGTAGGGCCATGATTGTCCAACAGCGGGCTGTCTGGCCCCGACTCAGGCTGAACCTGTTGGATAATGTGAAAGATTTCCATCCCCACATCCCACCATCTGGTGGCTTCCACAGGCTATATCAGTTTTGAAAACAGGACTTAAATGCATTCTGACCAGCTGCACAGGGTGGGTGCTTTGCCCCACCAGGATGTGCATGTCAGCACAGGGCTGGCCCTTCTCCCCTGACCACAGATGCTAGTAAATGTACAAAAGGCACTTCCTTCTTTGGGGCATAAAAGTTCCCTCTTGAAGGATCTGCAGCTGGGACGGTTGGAGTGTGTCCTGTCTTTAGGGATCACAGAGGCCGGCAGGGAAGCGGGCAGACGGGTACACTGTGCAATGTGGTACAACACCCTCTGCAGCCCAGAGCAGCTTCCTCCTTAGCAGGCCTTCCACAGGACACCTGCAGGGGTCTGTAAGAACTGGGCTCTGAGGGTGTCCTGAGAAAGCAGTCCGAAGGACTTCCTCTCAGTAGTGCCTCTCAGAATCTCCACTATCCAAAGGTGTGCTGTGCTGTGGATCTTGAAGATGTGGAGATTTCCCACACTGGCCTGACCACAGCCCTTTCCTCATGGGGCATGAGGCAGCACTGCTGTTGCACAGAACACTCTTGGGGAAGAAATGCTGGCTTAGATAAATTAAGTCAAACAGTATTTAAATGACTACCAAAGAGAAGTGAATCCTGTCTGAGAACAGAAAACCCAAAGTCTCTAGGTCCTGAGCAACAGTTGTCATGGAAGTGAGAGCATATGCTGATTTTATGTCAGACGAATTTAAGGATGACTCCAAAGCAGTTCCTTCCAGAGAGAGTAACTTACACAATTTGTCAATAAACGTATTCCAGTCATGGGACAAAGCTTTCAAATTCCATCCAAGAAACAAGGTTTTGATGAAGTGGATAGCCAGCTTTCACTGTCTACACTACCTGTCATGTACCCTGGTGGCCCAAAGCCGATACAGCTTGCTTTGTAACTTACTATTCAATAATGTAAGTGACTGTCATAAACATATAGGAATCTTTTTTATTTTTCCCAGCATTTTAAATTATTTCTTTATCATATTTATTATAAAAATTTTCAAACAAAGAAATGTTGAAGGAATTTTACAGTGAACTGCCATGTAACTGTTAACTGGGTTACACAATTAGTATTTTACTATCCTTCATTTATTTATCTATTCATCCCTCTATCCATCTTACTCTTTGATGCTTTCCAAAATACATTTCCCCCTAAGAGTTCATTATTTGTAAATCTCTGTTTTCTTTTTAGGTACAATCTACATATAATGAAGTACACAAATTTTAAATATGCTATTTGAGCTGTGATTAATGTGTACACCTATAAATCGCCACCCTTACCTTGTCCACTGAGAGCCAACACACTGTTCTGATTTTTTCCCCATCATAGATTAGTTTTACTGCTTTGAAGTTTTCACAGAAATGGAATCATATGTGACTTTTTCTACTCAGTGGTCTTCCATTTTGTGACATACCAATTTTGTTTACCCATTCATCAGCTGAAGGACATGTGGTTTGTTTCTAGTTTTGGCAATTGTGAATAAAGCCACTTAAACATTGGCATACAGGTTTTTGTGTGAACCTAAGTTTTTATTTCACTTGGGCAACCTAGGATTGGACTTTCTTGGTTTATAAGAAATTGCTGGACCTTCTTCCAAAGTGGTGTACCACTTTAAACTCCCCCAACAATGGACATGAATTTGAGAGGTCTGGTCAGTCCATATCTTTGTCAGCATTTGGTATTGTCCGTCTTTTTAATTTTAGTCATTCTGGTGGGGGTATACAGGTATCTCAGTGTGGTTTTAGTTTAATTTCCCTAGTAACTGATGATATTAAGGACATAAGTTTCCCTATGCTTGTTGGCCATACATTTTCCTTTGGGAAGTGTCTGTTCAGATCTTTTGCCCTTTTTTTTTTAAGTAGGTTGTCTTTTTGTTAAATAATGTTAGGATATATATAGTTACAGGAGTTCTTTATATATTCTAGATATCAGTCTTTGTCAGATAAATGGTTTACAAATATTCTCTCCAAGTCTGTGGCTTGCCTGTTCGTTTCCATTTTTTTTTTTGGAGGCTGCCCCTAAGGGGATCCAAACCCTTGACCTTGATGTTACCAGCACCACTCTCTCCCAAGTGAGCTAACCAGCCAGCCCTTAAAGAATGAATGTTCTGGCCGGCCCGGTGGCGCACTGCTATAGTGCGCCGCTTGGGAAGCGCGGTGGCGCTCCCGCCGAGGGTTCGGATCCCACATACAGACCGGCCGCTCACTGGCTGAGCGAGTTGCGGGAGCAACACCGAGGGTTGCGATCCCGTTGCTGGTCCCGATCCGGTACGGGCGCGACATTGAGGGTTGCGATCCGTTGCCGGTCACAAAAAAAGACAAAAAGGAAAAAAAAAAAAGAATGAATGTTCTTAATGAATGAATCAATCTTTCGGTGAACATAAGTTTGTAAACTTTGATGAAGGCTAATTTATTAATGTTTTCGTTTATGGCTATTGCTTTCTGTGTTCTAAGAAACTTTATCAACTTCAAGTCACAGAGTCATTCCCATGTATTTTCTTTTGAAGACTTCAGTGTTTTAGCTTCTACATTTAGGTCTGTCCCAAATTAATTTTTGTGTATAGTATAAGATAGGGGTTGAGGCTCATTTTTTCCCACATGGATATCCAATTGTTCCAGCACCACTTGTTGAAAAGACTCCTTTCCCTATGGAATGTTTTGGTGTCTTTGTTAATATCAAATAACTGAATAAGTGAGAATCCATTTCTGGGCTCTCTATTCTGTTTCATTGATATATTCACCAGTCCTTATGCCAATATGAAACTGCCTTAATTACTATTACTTTATAGTAAGTCTTGAAGTCAGGTTGTGTAAATCCCCCAACTTTGTTCTTTTTAAAAATTCTTTTGGTATTCTGTCTTTTGTGTTTCCATATAAACTTAATTTCTACCAAAAAAGCCTGCTGAGATTATGGTAGGGATTGTTGAATCTATAGATCAATTTGTGGAGAATTGGCATCTCAACAATATTGAATCTTCCAACCCATAAACATGGTATAAATCTTCATTTATTTAATCCTTTAATTTCTCTTTTAATACTTTGTACTTTTAGTGTAGAAGTCTTACACTTTTGTTAAGATTATTCCGAAGTATTTTATTTTACCCTATTTTGCTTTGTTTTGTTTTTGGTGGCTAGTTGGTACAGGGATTGAATCCTTAGCCTTGGTGTTATCAGCACGATGCTCTGATCAACTAAGCTAACTGGCCAGCTGCAGTATTTTATTTTTTGGATGTTACTTTGAATGGAGTTTACTTTATTTTCAAGTTGTTTGTTGCAATTGTACACATACTAAAAAGCTGATTGCCCTGCGACCTTGTTAAATTCATTATTACTTCTAGTAGTTGTTTTATAATCAAACATGTTCTTTGCAAGCACATATAGTTTTACTCCTTCCTTTCTAATCTTTATGTGTTTTATTTTCTTGCCTTAATGGCTAGGACCTCTAGTACAACTTTGAATTGGTGAGAGTGAACATCCTCTTGCCTTTTTCCCAATTTTAGGTGTGTCACTATTAAGTATGATGTTAGCTGTAGCTATTTTATAGATGCCTTTTGTTACGTAAAGGAAGTTCCCTTCTACTCCTAATTTGCTGAGTTTTTTTTAATCATGAATGGATGTTGAATTTTGCCAAATGGTTTTTCTGATCTGGCAGTCTTTGAGAATTGATTCCCTTTTATACACAAACTCTACTCCCCTTCCTCCTCTCACCACCATTCTAACATGCTTCATTAATTATATCTGTTTCTTTGTGTTTTTACAAAGTTTATCTGTGAACGTGCATTTTTAATTTACATAAATGCATGTGTATAAAAATCTCTTTTCCTACTGAGCACTATGTTTTTAAGATCTGTCTATGTTCTCTGGGTACATCTCATCAAATCGTTAGCAACTTTATAGCACAGACACCCTGAGTGCTCCATATTGAGGTACTTGTAAATGAAGATTTGGAGAAATGAGTACAGAATATGTCATCAGAAGTAACCCTAGGAAACTGAATCACAGATTAATGAAGTCAATGGAAAGAATGTGGAGTTAGAGGGTGGTCATGAGTTCAGATTCTGGATCTGCCCCTTATTAGCTGTGTGATCTTAGAGAGTTACCTTCTCAGAGCCTGTTTCTTCTTAGAATGGGGATGACACTTTCTATGATTGTTATGAAGATTAAACAGGATAATGAAGATGAAAATGCCTGGCCCCTAATAGGCTGTCACAAACTGTTGTTGCTTTCCCTCCTCAGGGCTTGCCCTGATGGGAAGTGGGGTGCAGATATATGTGTGGGCCGTGCTTTCACATGTCTTAGATGGGAGGTAACAGGAGATGCTGCTCCTGACTGTGCATGGTGAGGTATTTAACATCAGTGTTTCCTTCTGCCGCTGCAGGACAAAGTGGCCGTGGAGAGTATGCCTCTGCTAGGTTTCACCATCGCCCCAGAAAAGGAAGAAGGCAGAAGCGAAGTAGGACATATTTTTCATCTTTACCACAAGAAAACCCTATTTTATAGCTTCAAAGCAGAGGATACCAGTTCAGCTCAGAGGTACCAAAGTAACTAGTCCTATACCTCCTTGCCTCTCTCTGAAAGAAAGAAGTTGCTACCCAGGGCTTTGGCTTCTGTTCTGCTCCAGCCATCCTATCCCATCAGGTCCCTCTGGGCCATAGCAGAACTGGGGAACTACCTGTTCCTGGTCATAAGAATTTTTAGGCTATTATGACATTCATACAGCCATGCATTGGTTCAGTAAAATTTGTACTGTGTTCCAGGCCTTTTGCTAAATATAGAAAACATGTTTGGGAAACAGATATGAATGTGACCTAGTCCTTGACTTCAAGCTATCAGTAATCCAGCCCAGCCACTAGAGATTCTGTGATCAGAGTCATGGGCAGAGCTGCAACACCATGTCCTCTCCCTTGTTTTACAGGTGGATCGAGGCCATGGAAGATGCTAGTGTGTTATAGCAGTTATCAAGCATATGGACTCAGAATAAACTCTTAGGTTGATATGTGAACCCTTCCAGAAGCTAATCCGTGTCTCAACTCATCTGGACACACATCTGGATTCAGCATGGGGCTTGACCTTTTTTGCTGTAACATCCCCTCCCTTCCCAACACCTTCCCAAGTGGAACCCTTAAGGAATATTTATGGACCTTTCCTTTTCTGTCTTCGTGTTTTCTACCCCTTACCCCTGGTCATAAACTATTTCCTTATCCAGCAGTGAGTTAAAATTTAGTAACATGAAGATGTGGAAACCAGTAGAAAAGTACATGTTAGAAATGCAGGCTTTTTAGTAGAAACAAGCTTTTACTGTTTTTAGTCATGGTAAATATGATCACCTTTCACAGGATCGATTTTGGCACCTCAGGTGAAATGAGAAACAACCAGTAACAGCTACTCTCATTGAAAGCACTTTATTGTTTTACGAGCTGCAACCGCCAATTATGTGTTTTCCAAGTGATTTACTTAAGTTAATAACAGACGGGGTCCTGTGGACTAATTTGCCACCAGTGCCCTAATAAGGGTATACATACAATTGCCTCATGCAGACCTGGCTGTGGCTGGCCATTGCATGAGCACATGACATCACTGTGGAGAGTCCATGCTCCACTGGATAAAAGGAGAGGATTTTCTCTTCCAGTTGATCATGCGACCTGTATACTGACATAACTTATTAAAGAAGAGGCTCTCTCCTTCCCATGGTAGTCCTCAACACTATACCAGTGCTGGAAATGTAGCCCCTGGCAGATCTGGCCCCCCAGAGGTCACTGCAGACCCTCTGAAGAGTCAGGGTCTGCTTTAATTTATTGTATGCTTTCCTGTATTTACCCCACTTGAAGCTGACGTCGTGTTGATGGGAACCTATTTTTATTTTAGACATATAGTAGTAACCCTTAGGCTGTTTTGCCAAAGCCTTTTTAGTTTTGAAAGAGATAAAAAAGAGAAGTCAAGATATGATCAGAATTTTTAGTATTAGCAGATGGCTCTGGACACAGGGAGGGAGCACAGAAGTAGTGGCTTCAAGATATTCTCTGGCCACCTGGGGCTAAATCACCTCCTGCTGATGACTTGCTCATTATGCTAGACTGTTTTTCACATAAGGCAGAGGAGGTGTGAGGGGTGGAATTCCTTGTTACTCTCATTGCAATAAAAAAACATATCATTTTCTGATATATCCTGTCCCCGTTTTTCTGATGCCCTCTGTCACCTAAAAAGACATTTGCTGACAAACCTTTTGTAAAAGCACCATCTCAAGGAATTATTTACATTAAATATTTTCAAGGGAAAATTTTTTTCTATTTTTCACTTCTTAAAAAATTTTTTTGCATTACACATAACTATTCAAACAGGTCTTTTTAATTAGGCAGGTCTTATTGTTCATTTTCAAGGGCTTAATTCCAACTGAACTATTTTCATTGTCACACATATTTAAATAGGCCTCCTAGACCTGTTGGGGCTTTAAAACTCAGAGCAAGACTTCAGTACCAGGAAGTGGGAGTTTTCCAAGCTGCCTCCTGCTGACACCTGTTGTCAGTTTCTCAGCTCCATGCAGAATTCTGTGTCTGAAAGTTATCTGAAGGCCTCTTTTAGTTTATAGCATCCTGTTACTGATGCTCTGTAAGGGAAAGGTAGGTTTTTTTATTTCTCAGGGTATAGTTACCCTTTTAAAAACACCTGGGTTATAGATGAAACATACTGGGTGGGTTTAGTCAAAGGAAACCATCAGGGGCCACCAGGATCCTCCAAGGCTCATGTGACTGGGTAAGGACTGCCTGTCTTATCTGGACATGAGTTACCTGTCCTTCCTGTGGTTCTTTGTGTATTCATTTCAGACTAATTTCTACTGGCTGACTTTGCTCCTCATACCTTTGCTGACCTTCTTTGTCCAGCCCGTTTCACACGTCCACATCACCTGTCTGTCGATGGGGCCTAATCAGAGCAACGGGGGATGAAGCCACTCCATCTGGTCTGAGGGTGATCCTTCCCACTGGGCCCACATGATGGGTGTGATGGTATGGCAATGCTGTCCGAAGCCACCCTGCTCCCCACTCACAGGGCAGCTCCTCTACTATGAAACCCCAGCACAGGCTAAGTTTATCAGGAGGAAGCAGTACTGTGCCAAGCTGTAGCCCAGAAGTTAGAAAACTCGGGCCCTAGACAGGTCACTAGAGTAGCTCTGAGCCCCGGTGTCATCTTCTGTCACACGGAGATCATAAGGCGCAGATTGAAAGCATGTGAAAGTGGTCCGAAATCCATAAGCCAGTGGGGAAGGGCATGGCATCATTATGCAAAATAAAGACAGTCACGGGTTCTGCTCTCTAACAATACAAATTGAAGACAACATGCACGAGAAAACCTTCCTCCTTATCAGTGAAATGGCAAAGAGAAACCCTGGCACGGTCAGGCTGAATCCTTTGGTCATAGGACCTCTTCCCCACTCCTGTTTGTTTTAATTACCTCTCAGGAAAACACAGACTTTGCAGAGTTGGCCTCTGCCTGCTTCTCAGAATCGATAAAAGTTTATAATAAAACTCAGGGATTTACTGAAAGCAGGCAGCACTTATTTTACGTGATATTGTCTTCACGCTTTCCAAGCAGACTGGAATTTGTTTCTCCATTCTGGATTGATCTTTGAAGGTAGGAATTCTGTTCCTTATTATGGTACTGATACAAAACACACCAGAAACATACGCAGTAGTGGCAACAGACATTGAGTTCCTGGGTCCTAATAATACTTTTATACATCAGAAATATGCTCTGAGATTTTCTGATTATGCTGAGTAACTTGATGGACTCACTTGCCCTGGGATGCAGGATCATGCTGAGGCTTTAGCAGTCCTACTGCGGTAGCTGAGGGGTGACGTGGTTAGTTAAGAGTCCTTTCTTCTTCTAGTCCAGCCTTCTATTTGATTGCCATTGCAAATGGCATCACTGAACACAGAAGCCCTACGGACTGAGGCCATTTAGGCTGAGAGTGGTAGGACCAGGCCTGGAAGTCGAGTTTCTTTCTGCTATGGGATAGTCCAGCAACATGCTGAAATATTCTTGTTAATTGATTCAGCCTGTGTTTTGTGGTTTCTATGCTCATGGAAGCTTCCGTGTTTCCATGCATTCATGGTCCGTGGAGAGGACAGATGTGCCTACACTACAGAAGATGTCTGTTTTCAACAGCAAGTAAACAGAAACCAACCTCAAACTAGTTTAAACAATTAGGAAGTTAGCTCAAGAGGAAGTCCAGGCCTGGCTGGTTAGTTCAGTTAGTTAGAGTGCTGCCTTGTAACACCAAGGGCTAAGGGTTCAGACCCCTGTATGTGGCCAAAAGCAGGGGTAGTCCAGGGTTAGACAGTATTTCCAAGAACCAAGCTGTTTTGGTTTTTCTGGCCTGCTGTCCAGTGTCAGCTTGATTCCAGGGTTGGTTGCCAAGAGGGTGATCGCTGACTCCTACTCATGTTTGGGGCTACAGGCTTCTCCATTCATAGCCACCAAGGAGGGACAACTTGGCTTCCTGTAGCTAGCTTTTTTTAGAAGCAGCCAGCAGGCCCTCCACACCTCTCCAGGTCCACACTTACTTATGCCCGCCCACTCCTGAGCCTAGTCACTGAAAAGAGGACCACCACAAGTGGCACAGAGCAGTTAGCTGGGGGGAGAGGTGCAATGGTTGCTGGGGATTCACCCACAGTGTTCACTCTCTGGACCAAACCTGGAAAGAAGACTATGGTTTGGATTAGCATAGTACAAGGTCTGTGCCTTGCCACAGATTTTTGGGATGATCTGTGATAGAATACTCACAGGGCAATTCTTTGGGCACTTATTACATATGTTCGCTAAATATTACAGTAAGTGGTGGTGGGAGGCTGATTTGATATTAATATTTTAAGCTCCTAATCAAACACAATTGTTAAGTCAGTGGCCAAACAGCACTGACCTCTCACAGGCTCTTAGAAGAACTTTCTATAATTACTGAGGACAAATAAGTGCCAAGCACCTTAACCCTGGTATTTCATTTAATCCTCCCAAGGACCTGCTGAGGTGAGTTCTATTACTGTCCCCATTTTGCAGATGAGGAAACTGGGGATTAGAAACATCAAGTCATTTGCCCAGAGTGTCACACACAACTGGCAAAGCCAGGACTAGCTAAGAGCAAAGCCATGTTTGTAGCTGCTTCACTGTAGTGCCTCTGTTGAATGGGTATGAGCTATTATTATGAGCCATTTTCTGACACCTACAGTGTGAGTTCCCTCCTAAAATTAAAAGAAACAAATCTCCGTCTGCAAAGGACCAATCAGTAGGACCTTTTCTTCCAAAGACCTCAAACATGATGCCGAGTTGGCCTAAATTTTGTATTTCGCGATCCAAGCAAAAATTCAGTACGTAGTATCATACACAATCCATGCACATAATCCAACATTATTTCAATGTATTAATTGTAAAAATGAATACAGTTCTATTTTTCTACAATCATATGTACAAGATTTACCTCGATTGCACATGGGAATCTGGATATCTGAAACCCAAGCACGCATGCTTTTAAAAAAATTTAACACACTCCCTACTGTTAATTCAATTAATTGGATGAACACTTAAATATGAGTTTTTAAACTAAGTGATTTCATGGATCAGCACATTTTTCTCACTTATCTAAAGAAAAAGCAGAATTTCTAAGATAAACTTATAACCAATAATAACCTAATAAATTGATCAATTACTTGCTATTCTCGAACACTTAAGAATTTGCATTGTGTGTGGGAAGATAAGTCCGAAGGTTATGATTAATGTGTTCTATGAGAGTTGACAAGAAGTCTAATATTGGAAAGGAAGCCACACCAGTTTCAAGAGGAAGTGTGTGTGTTCACAGAACCCGTGTGTCCCGGGGAACGCATCTCCAAGGGGGACTGTTTTCAGAAATGAAGTCAAGCCAATGCATAGCCTGGAGCCTATGGGTCATGCAGAGCCAGAGCAGTCTGTCTGGACTGAGAGACAGTAAATTGGCAACAGGTTACAATGAGAGCCAGTGTCACTCTACGAAGGCTGCCCTGAGAGGAACAGCTGGAGGGAGAGATGGCCCTGGGAACTGCCTCCCAGAGGTTCAAACCCCAGTCCACAGCCTAAGGCTGCCTCCCCAAATCTAGCCAGTGGGGTCCAGTTATCTACAGTTTCTACAAGTGCCTCAGGAGATTCTGCACACAGGCAGGATGGGGGGTGGGGGGTAGGGAGGAGAGAGAAGGTGGCAGCTGAGCTGCACCAAGAATAATGAGTAAAAACTTAGTTCAGACATCGGCCTTGATCTCAGCTTGTCATGAGACTATGAGTCTGGTAGAAGCACCAGTTTACAAGGTGATATCCTCAGTGTATATTCTGATCTTTAGCTGAAGAAAAGTGAGACCCAAGAGTGTCTGGAAATGATGTTATAAGGCATGAGAGCTGGCGCTGGTACCATCAGACAAGATTGCAAGACACCTTTCAGAATTCAACACTATGCCAAACGTTATAGGAGAAATATACGCCCAAGGTAGTAAATATTCGAGAGGCCAAACAAGTCTAAGGTAGACAAAGGAATCTCCTCTCTGAGGTGGACAACAGGACTACCACCCAAGGTGGTGCTCAGCCAGTAAAACATCTCTTTCCACAGAACTTTTCTCTGGAGAAGTTAAATGACCTTGTGGGCACCCTCATAATCTCCTGGTGATCATGTGAGAGATTTTGCAGAACAGATTCCCTATGTGGACGCAGGCTTTTCCTTGTGTAGATCATCTGATGCTGTCATACAGGAAAGGGCTTCTGTGTTGACAAAGCAGAATGACAACAGGCCTCATTCTCTAATGTGATCATCTTCTAATCATCTTTCAAGGGTGCTGTTATGACAGAGCCAGTGGAGAGAGGCAGCAGTTCCACATGAACAAAAGAAAGGCTAGTACAGAATAAAATCTATATAAAGAAAGCACCATTAACAAGTTTTTCTCAGCTTGGAGCCACGTCTTTCAAACTCTGGGAGTGGGTAGTGCAATCGATGTAATGGGTCACAACCAGCACTCCCCCAAAAAACACACACAAATTCTCTGTGAAGAGAGAACAAGAGTATATTCATCATCCTTAAGAACTGTCATGAATTTTTTGTTTTAATTGTGTTGTGTATATGCATATGACATACTGTTTGTTGATGTAAAATGTATTT